GACAATATACTCAGAAATAGAATCGCCATCGAGAGTGAATGTGACTTTTTTCAGTCTACGGAACTGGTTAATTAACCCTAAATGGAATCGATCGAAGGGACATCCAACCCAACTGGTGATGGAGGCACGGACTCTGGCCGTGGGTACACCGCTCGTGACTTCCTTCAAGTCTTTCATGAAAAGGACTCACTACTGTCGACACTTTTGGCTGGCAGGGCGCCACCTCATCATTCCCAGTGATCCCGTGCCTACACACTGGAAACTGCTCAGGCCGGGTTGGTAGGAGCTGCCAAAGATTGGTATTGTTCGAACAGCTCCCAAGTCATACCCTGAGAAGAATTCTAGCGACGTTTCCGTCAGACCTTCGTGAGTCAGCCTCGAGTTGCAGAACAATGGTACATGATGCAAGAACGCGTGCAGCAGCGGAGTGAAAGCATGACTGCCTACTTAGACTCCAAGGTGCCTCTTTGGCGAGAAGTAAACGTCGACGTCAAGGATACACGAGAACAAGTTCGCATGGGTTTGCAGTCTCGGGAACTCTGCACCACGCTTTTGAGAAGAACGCATGACAAAGACCAACCGAACATCTTGGAGTTCGAGCGCATTTGACGAGAACTGCGGGAGATTTTCTGCACACACAACCGAAGCCTCATATCGCCATCACCTTCGCAACGCTGCCTGCCCGCTACCACGACGAGAAAATCGAGAACCGACGAAAACGAAGGAATGAAACGAGGCCTGCCGTAGCCGTCCGTCCACTAACCCGTCACCCCGGAGAGCAACGTCTACACGACAGGCCGTCGTCTGCCCTCAACCAGAAGTGCCGCGGCGGAAGCAGACGATGCCCCGGATCTAGAGGAACTGGAAGCGGCACCTGCTGTGACACCCAGAAGACACGTAAAGCAGCTTTTCAAACCAGCCCTGTCGCACGCGGAGAACTCCGCCGATAGTAAAGCACCATCTACAAAAAAAAAAAAGCCAAGAAACGAAGCTCAAAAAGTCCGCCGCTTCCAAAGGAAAGCCTAAAAATAAGGACAAAGCTGAAGCTGAGGACAAACAAAAGCATATGAACTCACAGCACAGTGCTGAGGGAAAAGACAGCGAGGCGGAGGGAGTGAACGTGAAACCTAGAAAAGCAAAAGAAGCAGCAGGAAAAGGTGGCGAAGAGAGAAAGAAACAAAAAAATGGCAGCATATCCACGGAGTGAATGATGGAGAGTGGGGCGAAGAATTCGTCCGTCCATTCGTTCTCGCTTCCGTCCATCCATGCGTCCGTCAGTGTGACCATTCATGCGTCCATCAGCCCGTCCGTGCGTGCGTCTGTTCGTGCGTCCGTCCCTGCGTTCGTCTATGCAGCCGCCCTTGCGTCCGTTCATGCGTCCATCCATGCATCTGTCTATGTGTCCATTCGTCCATCTATTCAACACTCTAAGTACCACGATCTCGCATCTTTTCATTATATATTCCCCATATAGAAGCACCGCCATCCAGCGGCCATTCCAAGGACTAAACGAGAGGTGGCGCATGCACACTTTGTTACGGCTTGCGCTTCGGGTCCACTTCCCAATTTTAACCACCTCGAGTTCATGGTATATACTAGTTCACTGTATTCATGGCACAGCGGCCGAACGCTCGCTAAACCTTTCGAAAACCAAGGCGGTTACGCCCAGCGAGTATGACGTAGCAAACTTTTTCAGTCAGATAGTGCTCAATGTACATGCCAATGGCTGCTAATGGGAAATGAGAGGCGGAGAATTCGGCTTTTACTTTCTTACGGCTTGCGCTTCGTATCTACTTCTCATTTTTAACCACCTCGAGTTCATTCATGGTATATACAAGTTCATTGTATTCATGGCACTGCGGCTCAACGCTCGCTAAACCTTTCTAAAGCTAAGGAGGTTACACCCAGCGAGTTTAACGTAGCAACCCTTTCTTGTCAGATAGTGCTCAATGTAGATGCCAATGGCTGCTAATGGGGATTGCAGCGTGCGCGTTGACTAAAAGCCGAATGCTCCTGTCTCTCATTCCCCATTAGCAGCCATTAACGTGTACATTGAGCACTATTTTTTATTGTTAAACAACGCACAGAAGAAATCTCTCACCGGCACCACCTTGGAGGTCAAAATGTTATACTTGTTACATACTACGGGGGCATCTTCCTATGTGTGAAAAAGATTTTAACGAGGTATTCTTTTGTGGTGTAAAACATTACTTTTTCTCTCCACTTCGTGTTGTGGCATTCCTCATGGTCCAGCCTGTCAAGGTGGCCGGAAGATAGGGCTTTTATTCCGCACTTAGTATTACAAACTGGTGAACTTTTTTGTGTTCTGGTGATGTTAGGGCGTCACTGTTGGGGATTGCTGTTTTTGCTTGTTTTAATCTTTGCTTGTTCCTTTCATGTGTTATTTAGTAAGCAGTTGAATTGGAGGATGGTGAAAACATTGCATGAAAAATCAGTTAAGCAGCTTCGCCAAGAGCACCTTAACGAGGATGTTATCAGAATGGCCGAATGCTAAAACATCCCAAGAGTCTTCACGAGATGCGAGCACTCTGGCAGGAACATTGTAAGAAGTCGTTTCACGAGAGAGACTCATGTCTCTCTCATGAGTCTCTCTCGCATGAGTGGCGTTTGTGTGGCCTGCCTAGTACGCTTGTATCTGAGCAACGCCTTCTCTAGAAAGACGTTTGCGACGTCGCCCGCTTTCCCTTGGGGACGGGAGGTATCTCGTAGTTTTCTGCAACCAAATAGCGCTTTCTGTCACCAAAGAGTGCTTGCAGCCGATACTACTACTTCCGCTAGTTTCGAAAGTGACGCAATCGCAAAGCCACGACCATGTTGCCTCTGAGATGGCAGTAAACATTGTTTTAATCTGAGAGGCTGCAAGGTTCCAAGCGACGGCCACAGTGAGCGCTCGCAGCCGACACTGTTTGGGGAAGCGCATGAGGAGAGAACAACAGGGGGCCGGGTACCATAGAGTTTCTGATAAATTCACTAGAGGGAACTCTGTCGCTAGTGTCTATGGTAGCAGCAAAGCAACGGTGCTTTAGCCAGCATAAGAATGATGGTTAGTAGACAGATTTCACAAATCTCCGTACTTATGGCTTCGTTCATGTTCGTTTGGCTTAGAGCTGTTTTGTCACAAAACAAAACTAAACAATTTTTCAGCGGTTGTGCTTCACCACCTTATACTTTTAGGGTTACCTTTCTTAATCGGGTCACGAGGTTCAAAGGGATTTGTTCGTTCCTTCGAAACGAAACCGAAACACAGCAATAAACGAAGTCACAAGTGGGATTCGTCACCCGCAAGTATGAAGATTAGGCAAGTCCATGTGCTACTCGTCATTCCCATGGTCACTGAACGATCGCCGCGCCACAATCCGCTGTAGATAATTTTGGGAAACTATACGCCGGGTACCAGCTCTTCGGCTCAAGTCACAGGCATCTTTCAAGAGAAAGCGTTGATCTGAGCTTCAGAATTGCGGACCCAGGACTGTGGGCCCCAAGCTGCGTGGGGTAAGCTGCTGTTGCATTTGCAGGAGCATCACAGCTTGAGAACTCAGTCAAACGCAGGCGCCGTTGGATCAAACGCACAGAGTGCCACAGGCGGCTAGATTCAAATCATGCGGCGAGCGGGCCACACTGCGTCGTTGACGACGCTACGTCTACATCGTTTTGCTGGCGGCACAAGATGCCTGCCCACGCTAGTTCCTGATTTTGGGGTCTTCGGACAAGGCAAGCGCACGAGCCCATGGGTGCCTTGCGTTCTACGCATGCGCACTGGTCACTCAATTTCATGGGTCCCCAAGCTCCTTCGAGCCCCAATTCCCAAACTCTATAATCTTTTACACCACCTTGTGTCTTTAACGACGCCGTAAAAAACACGCCTATAGGAGTAAATAATGTTTTGTTGAAATGGCACATGGGTGTAAATATCACACGCGTGTACGTTTTCAACGTGCAGTCGAGCAACGAACCTACGTGGCTGAGGCAAAAACCAGGTAAGCATGAATTGGTGAAATATATAGGGATCTGGTGACAAGTATAACTTGATAGCATACTTCTGTTATTGTATTTTTCTTTATGTGTTATATAAAAGTTTTTCTCGCTTTTATTTTTACGTTACGATACTTTAGTGTTTCATTCATGCATGACACTTCCATTTTCATTCCTGTTATTCATATATATATATATATATATATATATATATATATATATATATATATATATATATATATATATATATATATATATATATATATATATATATATATATATATATATATATATATATATATATATCACGCTCTTTAGAATTGCACTGAGACCAACTTCACCACTGTCTACCAGGGAGACCGCAGCTTCGTCATAGCGACTGAACTTACTTCTGCTTTTTCTCCAGTTTTCTGTTTCTCGCGTTACGCGTGAAGTCATGAAAATGAAAACGATTGATTCGTTGATTGCTTGATTGATTGTGAATTGAAGAATGGCCGGGGAGGCTTCACGTCGCCTCCCCCTTAGATATACCCAAACATAGCATGTTTAATTACACATTATCACAAAAGCGTTTGCTCTAAAGTGCCGCACCACTGTGGAGCTGCACTTTAGTAAAACCACGAGAACGTTTGTTGCAGTCTCATATACGTGCAACAACGCTTGCAGGCCTTAGTTGCAGTGTCACAATTTCAGTGTTGTAACAATACCAGCCTGTTTTTTGTGCTGTTTTTGAAACCACCGACAAATTGCCGTTCGTGCAGTTCGTGCCAGAATAGCTTTATTTAGAAAGCATCCCTTTTTTAGCTATTTGGCTCATGCTTCTATGTGTCTGCGTTATTGGAACATAGTTCTCGTGTAGCAGAAGGTGAATACTTGGTCCGCGCCGAGTGAAAGTTAGCTATTTGGTGCCTAAATAATAACACAATAAGTAAAAAGTGAGCATTTTCATATGGTGTGTAACTCATGGTCTTGGGAAATTCATAGGGCAGCAGAGAGCGCAAACAAAATATTTCAAAGAAAGGTTTTTAATTACACCGTAGCATTTTCAAAGGCAACAGATCTTTCAAAGTGCGGAAGTCGATGACAAGACATTGACTAGAGCCCATGGCACCCAGCTGCTTAGAGCAGTTCTCAGCACTATTTACAATGCACCGTAAAACTCTTACATAGTGATATAAGCAACATGCACGCATAGTTGTTTCTTCACGTTGCGCTTCGCTAGTAGGCACATCAGTTTGACTTTTTCTCCATTGAAAACATCGCTAATAAAGTAAGTGAGCGCAACTCAAGTTTGTACGTTTTTTTTTCAAGTATGTACAGGGCTAAAAGTATTTACATTATATACATAGGTAAAAGTACTTTTATCAGATGATATAATTTACAAGTGAGGTGTGAGTGAAAATGAGTTGGACCATTCGTGAGATGAGCATGCTTCTCGCATAAATATAGTTTGCAACTTGTAACGCAAATGGGCTTGCATGGTTGTGGGATATACGAGTGAACTATGTACAACAGAATGAGGCACTGAAGTTCCTCCTCACAGCTTTTCCAGCGTCTCGTACCTGCAGTGCTGCGTACTGCGCAGCTTGGTGATGCTGATGGCTGATACAATTAGAAGCAGGACATTACACAGGGCGAGGGCCACAACGACATAGACAGTGCTATGCTGCGTTGTTTCACTGGCTCGGAGGCTGTGTGGACTCGGCTCGAATACAAAGACCTGGGACGAGCTTATGGAGTGCGGCTCGGCTGCTGGCACTTCCAGCGCGCGGGTGATCTTCATGAGTGGGACGATGTCGTGCCAAAAGGCGACGGCCCGGCCGAGCACGCTGCGACGGGCGGCGCAGTGGCCAGTGGTGAAGTGCATAACCATTTGGTTCTCCTCCGTGTACTCGGGCCAGTGAAGGTCATGGGCGCCACCAACAATACTCGGATCACTGAATCAGGAGAAAAACTGTTGTTAATAATAGAGATACAAAAAGAAGAGAATAATATAGCACGCACCTGTTGAGGGCAAAGTTTCCAATGGAAGCACCGAGCTTGATGCTCAGCCTTGCCTCGGGCTTGGGAAGGTCGTGCTGCTTGAGAACGAGACCCATGGCGAAGAGCACGTCGTCTCCGTGGGCTGCCGCAATGAAATCTGGCTGCTTGGAGAATGATGGGCGGTGAGAAAACTGGTAGACGTACACCGAGCCCTTCTTGTGGTGAGCTAGTAGGCGGGCCATCTGTTCGGCGTGGGACGCCACGTACATGTCACCGCAGAATTGGACATACTGAGCTCGCAGACCTTCTCTGATGTGCTGATAGTGATACTCGTGTTGAACGAGCAAAGAAAGCACGTCATCATCTCGGACTTTGAAGTCGCGCAGATGGAACTGTACCATGTCGGCTACATCTTGCGTCGTCAGCTTGTTTTGTATGAGGCGCTCGAAGAATTGTGACTTGAGGTACTGCAGCGTTAAGAAACACAGCGATCCCTCATGCTGGTTTGTACCGATGATGACATCAACGGCTTGGTGACGACCTTTCTTCACAACCTCGAGCGGCTCTTCCACGACCAGCACACCGTCCATCACGGGCTTGAAAAACTTCCCAATGCGGGCTGTGGCACGCAGCAACTCCGGGGCCGACACGTTTCGCAGACATGTGACCATATCGTCGCTGAAATCAGCCGAGGGGCAGCCGAGGGCACTGGCGAGCTTCTCCGTTGTATTGAGGGGATCGGAGTCGAAGACGTAGTCCCCTACAGCGATGCCGCTCTGCATCACTGCTTTCTCGAAAAGCTTCTCTTTAATCGGTGTGGCTATGTGTATGCTGATGCTCATAGATCCCGTGAAACGGCCCATTACGGTAATCTTGTCGGGATCGCCACCAAAGCGAGCGACATTCTTCTTGATCCACCGCAGCGCCATACGCTGGTCGTGAAGTCCAACGTTTCCCGGAGCATCGGGCGTCAGTGCAGCGAGGAATCCGAAGGCAGACACCCTGTAGTTGACCGTGACAACTATGGCGTTCGAATGAACGGCCAAGTAGCTGCCGTCAAACTGGCGAGCAATAGCGTAGTCGAAACCCTCTCCAGGAAGCCAAACGATCACAGGCAGCCGACCTGTATCTCCCGAATCAGGTACGTACAAGTTCAGGGTCAGACAGTCTTCGCTCATCTCGGAGTCGGTGTCCAAAAAGCTGCTCATCAGTTCTTTCAGGTGAGCCGGCTGGAAGCAAGAGGGTCCGTGGCGGCTCGCATCCAATACCGCGCTGCCCGCGTCATCCAGTGGCTGAGGCGGAGCGAATCGCAGGGCTCCCACGGGGGGCATGGCGTACGGCACGCCCAGAAAGTGGTTGACGTGGTGGTGATGGCCTGTTTTGACGCGCAAGCCTACAACCAGACCCGACGACGTTTGCACGGAGGTGGGCCTGCGCGCCGAAAGCATGCCTACGAGGCACAGAAGCGTCAGAGCGGCGACTCGCATTTTCGCTGCCAATGAAGCTCATCTGCAGTCGCTGCTCATCGCTGCGCCTTTATAGGCGGCCGCCACGAGAGGGTGACGCGATAAGCAACGCGGTGGAGAGAAGAATGCCAGTGACCCCATTCGCGGCACTTCCTTCTCCTCGGAAAGCGAAAGGAAGATGGCGCCAACGGAAAAGTATACGGTCCGCTTTGACCCCGCGCGTATGAATGAATTTTGATACCCACGTATCGACGACGCCTCGCACAGAAGTTGCGCAGGTTCTCCACTGCCATATGAACTTGCTCCCGTGATCGACTCGAGTTGTTCAAAGTCTTGACGCGTGTTCTAGGAATACACAATTTGACTCTGCATCTTGTGGCCGCATCAAGAGTGCTGTCGACCTCACATCATTGCTGTACAGCAGTATATTCCTCTGTGCTTTGTTCTTTCTGACGCCTGGTGTGATTATGGCAGGCTCCACAATATATTGTCTGGACTCGTTACGAATAAGTGAGCTATCATTTTCAAACAAGCGCAATGAGCATCGCCCTCCAATCTCGCATGCAGTCACGCTAGAGCAGAACATACACTAACAGCGTACTTACATTCCTCCTATGGATTTATCGGTGCGAGACATACGAGAGATATAAAAAACAATTAGGGGACCCTAAAGCTTCGCCCTTAGGAGTTGAACGCAATAGCGATATCCTGTTCCTAGTGCGTACTTCAAATACTCAGTACATGAAGCCTTTTCGAACTGGCTATGCACCCACTACGTCGCCTTAAAAGAATAGGTGCAGTAGCGTGTGTGCCTTTTGCAGTGAATGACCGGCTTTAAACCATGAAGTCATTATGATAATTACATGTTTTAGGCCCACTGGCAATGGGCGCTTGTACCACGCATTTTTACTGCAATATTTCTACAGTGCGGTAGAACAACGCTGGCCAACCAAACGACCTCGGTTCGACCCCCACTCTGTTCCAGAATTTGTTATTAGTTCCTTAATTTGCATTGTCCTCGACTTTTCGGCCACGCATAAGATTTTTCGCCTACAACCAACGACGCCGCAATTTCCATGAAACGAGCTCTTTACGCTATTATCTAGCAGCATCACCATTGAGCCGTCTGTTGCCCTGCCTAAGATATAAGTGTGGCAGCTAAGCTGTCGTTATGTCGGTATTTGTGAAAACGGGAGGGCGCAGGCGCACAGTTAACATCATAAATGTCAGTGTCCGAAGGATTAAAATTCAGTTGGCCGTTAGCTTCGAAAGCACGGCCTTGCTGAAACGTCAATGCGCTGTTCACAGTTCGTTCTGTATCAACAATAGGCGAACGTTACACCTTCATTTCTCACTCTTAACAGGCTCTAATATTCAAAGCGAGGCCTCTAGGGAAGCCGTAGTTTGTGTTAGTTGCTTCAGAGGAAATGCGACGCTAAAACGCGAAGGGTTCACCGCCTCTCTAAAGGTGGATTGACCCCTAGCTGGCCTTTTCTTTTTTGGGTGCATTTTCGCACTCACTCTATCGTCGGGAGCTTTGCATGCTCGGCGGACAAACAAGAGGTGAACCGGTGCTGACGACCCGCAGGTGGATAAGAGCGGGGTCACCCCGGAGATGATGCACTAACCAGCACAGGGGAGAGCAGCTTGTTTGTGCCAATCAGACAGAAACCTGAACGGCCGCTTATCGAGATGAGTAAGGAGCGGCGGCGGCTGCTTGTTGCCACATGTCGTTTACCTGCAGCATTTTTCACATTCCACCCGTGGCTCACCAGTTCTGAGGAAATGTGTTCCGCTCAAACGCGTTGACATCCTTCGGAATCACTCGTGTCTCAGTCATTTGTTCTCCTCTATGACAACTTCTTCCATGACCAGAGCTGCCAGCGTGAGACAGCATTTCAGTTACGGGTCACCCAAACACCCTTTGCAAGCACTCCCATCTAATAATTTTCGACGTTTTATGTGCCGAAAGCATGATGTAATTACGTGCAGTGGTTAATGCGGATTAAATGGTCCTTACCTCGGCTTTTTTAACATGTGCCTAAGCCTGACTTCCCGGGTGTTCTAGAATTTCGCCTCCATGAAAAATTATTCCCCATGGCAGCCAGTCGAACGCACGTGCTCGAGCTTACAGAGCGACGCCATACCTCGACTGGCAGGTAGAAAAGTTCCGGGGCGAACGAGATAGAGCGACTTCTTCACGGCACTTTTTCAGCGAAAGGGAGTTTAAAGGTCAACAAGGAGCATCGCACGCCTCTTCGCGAGTGTTTGTCTATTCATTATATTGTGGGTAGTGCAGTGGTGAAATCATGACACGCTATCCCGAAATTGTCAGTTATAAAGCACTTTTGCTTAAAATAAAGGAAACCGCAGCCCTGGCTACCACGAATGGATCAATCTCGAGAAATGCTCTATTTTATTATACAGTTACATCAATCAACAACACAAGAAGAAATATTGTCATTACAGAACCCCTTAGGACGAAAAGCGTAAACTTAGGCGCTGTTTTTTTTTCTTTCTTAGGCACAATATCAATGAGAACTAGCGGACAACAATGCTACGGAGAGTATAGGAGAAGTTATTAGAAGTAATCTCATTGTGAAAGAAGAAAAGTGGATGAAGAGATAACTTGCCACCGGCCGGATCCGAACCTGTGACCTTTGAAAAGTGCGTCCAATGCTCTACCACCGAGCTACGATGACGGTCATCCCCCTGTCCACTTTATAGGGTATACATGTGCGTTTAACTGTGGGAGCGGCCGTCACCTTTTAAAGTGGACGGGGGATGACCGCCGCCGTAGCTTATTGGTAGAGCATTGGACGCGCTATTCGAAGGTTGCATGTTCTCATCCTGCTGGTGCATGGCGAGGTATCTTTTCGCCCACTTTTCTTTCTTTATAATTACGTTAAAATTGCTTCTAATGACAGCTCCTATACTCTCCGTATCATTATTGCCTGCTAGTTTTCATTAATATTCTTAATACTACAGTAATAGTGCACAATTCCTACAACCACGATGTGATCATCAAGTACGCCGCAGTGGAGGCCTAGAGAAATTTGGACCGCTTTTAGGTAAACCGGAATGCAGGTGCCTCGAGCAGCATTCGAGCCTCCAAAGCAAATTCGGCGTTCGTGATTCGATGGCGCGACACGCGGGGTCACCAGACGAGACCAGCGCAGCGGGCTGCTTATTGCGATGGCTTCTGCGACTTCCTACATCGCCACTCCAGTGGTAGTAGCTAATGTGTGTGCAAGTGGCGCTATGCATACTCAACTTTTACAACATGCCGATCAAATTAATATCAGCGAAATTTGGAAGGACTATCTGCGCTGTCTTGTGGAAAATGACGCCACTCGGTGCGAGGTCTTTTGTTGTGAAGCGGCGACATTCTCACGTGGCCACCACTGAGCAGCAGGGCACGGTGATAAAAACGGAGTTCTATTGAAATGCACGAAACATCGTTTCCCGTGCTTGTTCACAACGCCTCGATGGTGTTTTTGTGCGGAGAAATCCTCGTGACATCCTCGCTCTTAGACACGCGTGTCATGCAACGCTGTTTCATCGTTCTGGGCTTTGGTCACGAGGAAAAACTTACGTCACTGCGGTAGGGCGCTCGAGATGCCAAGTTCTCGCAATTTTCTGCCGCGTTACATTGAAACTAACATTTGAACGCAACAGGAATCGGTCAACGGTGGCACATAAAGTGTTCGGCGCGGAGTATTTAGCTAAAGTGTCGTGCAGTTTCTTTTCTGGAAATATTTTTACCTTTTGCTTTCTTGCTCATTTAGTGTGTGCGGAGAAGAGCTGTAGCTATCACGAAAGGAGTATTCCACGAGGCTGAGTGGTGCAGGCATCACTTTTTCAAAATCTCAGATTCAAAACGAACATTTTTATTAACCTGCTTTTAAGAAATGGTTTTCTCTCTCTTGTCACCCCTAATAATCGTGCACGCCTGTGTCCATGACCGAGAAGAAAGGTGCGAGGACCTCTGGCGCAGCATTCCTGGAAGGCGGCCTTATCGTGCGCTGTCCTCGCCGCCGCTACCAGGGGCTGCAGCGCTCAGCATCCACGGAGCGCGATAGCGGCGCATCGCCGCCGCCGATTCGCGGTAATGTTTGCCTCGCCATCCGAGATATATATGCGGCGACAAAGGGTCTTCGATGGCCGTATCTAGCGAGAAAGAAAAAAAACACCGCAGTTCCTCGGAAATTCTGCCGTGAATCGACCGTTTATTTCAATCACCCCCCTTATCGGTGGCACACATTGCGATTTTCGAGTGCCCGCCAGAGTTCGCAGAAACGCCACTGCGTCGTTTGGGAAAAATTCAGCACGACGTCGGGCGAGCAGGTCTCCTAAAGGCCGGTGACAGGAGCGCCTCCTGTGCAGTCATAGTTGAAAGCGTCGTCACCCCCTAAAGACGCTTTTGGGCTCACTCCTTCCTTCGTCAAAGAGGCGCACTGTTCGACCACCCAAGATTCAATACAGATGAGATTGGCATCAAACCCGCAACGTTGGGCACAGCACTAAGCTGGTTTGCCTAGGAAGGAGTACATTGGTCTCACTTTTTTCATAAAATGTATTCCTCATCACGTGCTCATTGTGTGACCTCGTGACTGTCCATCCGTGCGTCCGCCTGTTTGTCTGTCCATCCGCACGTTTGTCAATCTAGTGAACACTCCAAGTCCATGTACGAGTACCACCATCTAATGGACATTCTAAGGACTAAACAAGAGGTGGCTACTACGATGACAACGCGGGACGCATAGTTCACGGCGTAAGAAGCTCCGCCCTTAAAACATGACGGTTTGTGGCACCCTAACAAAATGTCGGTACGACAAAGCCTCCCCGAGATCATATCTAGGACAGCCCTTGCCACTGTAAAGGAAGGTGTGCACCATCGTTGACACGTGCAGGCTCCGTCCAGCCGAAAGCCACAATCACGTGACAAGATGCGCAGCAACCACAAAGCTGGCTCCGAGCGCACCAAAGGCAACAGACTGTTTTGCGATAGGGTTCCTCGATACACGGGCCTC